TATATATATATATATATATATTAATTTTTGCTTTAAAAATCTCAACCTATTTTTAAAAGATTTAAAAACTCTAAATAATCTTCAAAATAATCTTTTTAACTTAATATATTATAAAATATAGATTCTTCAAAACAAAAACATGAATAAAAAAAAAGAAATATATAATATTTTCTATATAAACAAGCTAAAAAAAACAAACAAATACTTGAAAACAATAACAAAATAAAAAAAAAACTATATTAACAAATAAACTCTTCAACTTATAATTTAATAATTTAACCAATATTGTTATTTAAACCTTTTATAAAAATCTATTAATATCTTCTCATAATAAAATAAATTATTAAAAAGACATTAACTCTTTAAACATAAATAGTTTTTTTTGTTTTTTTTTCTCAAAAAAGTTTTTTATCAAAACATATTTATATGGCAATAGGCTAACATGTATAACAATATATCTTAAAATCTAAACATTAATTAAGTAAAATTTTTTACTTATTAATAAAGATCATGAGAAATGCATCACTTAAAACTTTAAAAAAATTTTTTTTGATAATTTTGATAATATAATTTTAAATTTAAAAATATATAATATCTTTATTTTTATACTAATAATTGTTGTTATTTTAAATAAATTTATAAAATGCTTTATAATTTTTTACATTAATTAACAAATATTTTTATTTTATTAACTTTTGATAAATCTATCGATATTATAAATTAGCATAAGTAACACAGTATTGAATTATTAACAATAATAATATTTAATTTAATTAGCAATTTGTGATTTTACAAAGAAATAATTATTTTTCTAATTATTTAATTAAACATATAATTATATACGTATACTTGGTTTAAAATTTTCCAAGTCATTATTGATATTGTTTTATACATGAGCAACTTCATTAATAAATCGTCCAGATAATATTTTACGAGAAGGCAACACATAGTACTAAATCTTTTAAGAGATAATTTTATTTATAGTTTCAGATTCTGACGATGAGGTACTGTAATATGGTACAAGGTAAAATTAACAGACATTTGAAGCATTAATTTTAAATTTAAAGATTTTTTAAAAAATTTTTATTTAGAAAAAATGACGGAAGTCACGTAGAAAATTAGTGACGTATTGTTACGTCAAAAAAGATGATCAAAAAATATCGTAACAGCGCTTGTTACATTTTTTCATATAAATCATCTTAACTACTTAGTAATACAGTACATACCTTTGTCCACGAAATTTGTAGCAAATGGTAGAGCGATGGGTCAATCATGTGAAATAATTTATAATTTAAGATTCATCATTTGAGTATTACAAATTGTTGGTATCTGAACTTTTCGTGTCAACTTTATACGCACAGTAGTTTATCTAATTCAAATAATGGCAAATTACTTGGTGAATCTTTTATGTAACGATTATATTAGATTATTTGAAAGTGAAGAATATGCTGACGTAACCATTCAAGTTGGTTCAGAACCCAACGCCAAGTTTTTTCGAGTGCATTCTCTAATTTTACGTACTCGTTCTCCCTTTTTCCGCTCGGAACTTCTAAAATATGCCACAGGAAATACCAAGAACATTGTGTTAACCTTCAATCAACCGAATATCTCAGTAGGAATCTTTGAAATACTACTCAGGTAATGCATGCGGTGAATTATACTGTATGTAAAAGATGGAGTTTTTTCATTTACATTATTCATTTAATAGATACATTTACATGGGAAGAATAGATATTGCAAACTATAATGTACCGGACACCTTAAGTATTTTATCGGCAGCGAGTAAATTGGAACTTCCGGATTTGTGCACATACATTCAGGACTATCTTTTAACTTTCAAAAAAGATTTATTGAAGCAACATTTTGCCCTTGTGAATAGAATTGCTAAAGACTTTGAAAATTTATCAGCATTTTGCAAAGAATTTTTAAAGAAAAGCCCTGAATTTTTCCTTCATGATGAAAGCTTCGCATCATTCAAAAAAGAAGAGCTTCTTGATTTTTATGCAAAGTCTTCCTCCCTAGTTAAACCAATTGATTTATGGGACAAACTTATCGAGTGGGGTATCCTTCAGCTAAAGTTAACGGGAAAAAATCATGATGCTTTGGGAGACATAGTAAAACCGATGATTCCCTATATCGACTTTAAACGAATTGAGAGAGTTGATTTTTTTCAAAAAGTTCGACCTTTTAGATACGTTTTTAATGAAGATGATTATATTCAAATTCTCGAAAGCACACTTCGTGATCTATCGTCAAAATCATCTCATCCGTCATCCCATCCGCTATATAACCCGTCACCTCATCCGCTACATCATCCGTCGTCCCATCCGCCATCTCATTTGTCATCCCATCCGCCATCTCATTCGTCATCCCATCCGCCATCCCATCCGTCATCCCATCCGCCAGCTCATTCGTCAACCCATCCGCCATCTCATCCGTCATCCCATCCGCCATCTCAACAACAAGCAAATGTTAATA